CACCGAAAAGCACCATCAAAACCTTGAACTCAGTTAAGGAGTCGGCGGATGTGGCGTAGAGTCAAAAAAAGTCCTGCACCGTAACTCCTGCCAAACAACAGACACAGTTACAACCCATCTTCCTTCTCCTCCTCCATCCATCTGGCTTTTCCTCCTGGAGCAGGTGGTCCCCTCTCTCAAGTTCTGCTGGGCGCGAGGCATCTTCTTCTTGGTCTCTAGCTTCGCAGGTCTCTTGTCCTCCAGAGCCCGGATGAAGCTGAGCGCGGCAGGGGGATCAGCATCGTCATCGACTTACTTATCTATCCTCATCCTCTTCCTCACCCTAAACCCCATGCCTCGTCCACTCGTCCATCTCCTGTTGCGTTGCTGCTGCCCTTCCTCGTCCTCCTCCTTATTCTCCTCATCACCCTCCTCCTCCTCCTCCTCCTCTCCTCCTCCTCCTCCTCCTCCTCCTCATGATTCTCCACCTCCTCCTCCTCCCCCTCCTCCTCCTCCTCCTCCTGACATTCATGAGGGGGGCAGCGGCTGGGCCTTCTCTGCGCCTCCCGCACGAAGTCGGACCGCAGCAGTATCAGTTCCGAGTCGCCTCTCTCGGCGAAGAGGAAGTGCTGGGCCTCCTCCTCCTCCTCATCCTCCTCCGCCTCCCCTTCCTCCTCCATCATCCACTACACGTCTTGCCCGCTCACCCTCCTCATCGTCCTTCTCCTCATCCTCCTCCTCATCATATCCTCATCCTCCTCCTCATTATCATCAGCATCAGCATCAGCATCAGCACCATCATCATCATCATCATCATCATCATCATCATCATCATCATCATCATCATCATCATCATCATCATCATCATCATCACCATCATCATCAGCATCATCATCAGCATCATCATCATCAGCATCATCATCAGCAGCATCAACATCATCATCATAATAATCATCATCATCATCAGAATCAGCATCAGAATCAGCATCAGCATCATCACCATCAGCATCATCATCCTCCTCATCATCACCATCCGCATCATCATCAGCAGCAGCATCATAATCATCATCAGCATCATCATTCCCATCAGCAGCATCAGCATCAATCATCAGCATCATCATCCTAATCATCATCATCATCATCATCATCAGCATCAGCATCAGCATCACGATCATCATCAGCATCATCATCATCAACAGCATCATCGTCATCAGCATCAGCAGCATCAGCATCAGCATCAACAGCAACGTAATCATCAACATCATAATCATCATCAGAATCAGCATCACCGTCATCATAATCATCAGCATCATCAGCATGCTCATCATCATACTCAGCATCAGCATCAGCATCATCATCATCATGATTATCATCATCATCAGCATCATCATCTTCATCTTCATCGTCATCTTCATCATCAGCAGCAGCATCAGCAGCATAAGCAGCATCAGCATCAGCCACATCATCCCCCTCTGCGAACTGCCCTGGCAGCTCTGAAAACCAACGCGAACACGGCGCACTGCAAGGGGGGTCAAGGGACCCGCGCCACGCCCGGCCAGTGCCAACTTTCCCCCATCCCCCCTCTCCGGTGCCTCTCCTCCCCTCCGCCGTCCTCCCTCCGTCCCATCCCCTTCCCCCTCCCCCCCTCCTCCTTCCCATTGGCGCTCGTCTTGCCCCACAAGCCTCCCAACGCATGGAAACAATCAAAACGAATAGGTTCCGCCATTTCCCGCATCTAGAGGCCTCCTCTTCCTCCTCGTCCGCCTCCTCCTCCTCCTCCTCCACCATCACCACCAACACATCCTGCTCCTCCTCCTCCTCCTCCACATCCTCCTCCTCCTCCTCAAGAATTCGGGGTCAAGTTTTCTTGTTGGCCTCCTTCCCCTGTGCCTCAGCGTGGCACTTGAGAGACTAGATTCGGGCGCTACCCACTTCCATCGTTTGTGCTCAATCTCGACCAAAGCAGGGGAAAAAACAATGGCGCGGGGATCGTCGGCCTCCATGGGCCGTGAGCGAGGTCCATGGAGCAGGTGCCCTGACTGCGGGATCTGCGAGTACAATGCCGAGCTTGCCAAGGCAGCGTGCACGTGTCGAAGCTGCGGCTCAAGAGCTCCTTTGTGCAAGGCGCGCTCATCGTCGGCGGAGAGAAAAGGTCTCCTTCGAGTTGACGGGCGACGAGGACGAGCTGGTGACTCTTCGAGGAACCAGGGGGGCGGACGGTAAAGGCCGGAACGACGCCAAGAGCTGGCGGCGCGGTGCAGGTCAGGACGTGGCCGCCCTCCTAGAACAGGCTCTCCAGGCGACAGAGGATCAGGGGCTCCTCGGCTAACTGCGCAAGCAGGTGGAGAAGCTCGCGGCGGAAGCGACGAAGCCCAAGGACGAACCATCCCTTGTCGAGGCGCTGCGTCGAGCCGAAGGAGTATGCAAAGATGCAGAGCATCGTCACTCGCAGCAGGTTGCACATGTGGTTCGGCTGAGGAGACAGGTGGAGGTGGCTGAGGAGAAGGAGGCGAAGGCGGCGCGGGCGCTGGCCGAGGCCGCGCTGGCCCGCGAGGCCGCCGCGCAGGCCGTGGCACACGCCGAGGGCGTGCAGGCCGCCCCCGCCGCCCAGCCCGACGCCTCAGCATCGACGCCAATATTTCATGTCAGCTGGGATCAAGACTTCTTTGACAACATCGAGGGCATGGAGTGCGAAGAGCATGAGAAAGAAGTCAAGAGGGCATCAAGAAGAAGCTTGAAGCCACGCAGGGTGCCATGGCCTCGAGGCGGAGGTCAAGGCGCGGCTGGAGCAGATGGAGTCCGCCAAGCGCGACATCGAGCAGAGGCTCGCCAAGAAGAGGCCAGGGATCGACGGCCAGGCGGCGGCTGGCGGAGGGGGCGTCGAGGCCGCGCAGCAGCCGCTGGCGGCAGCTGGGGGCTCCCCAGGCGCTGCCGCCAGCTGCGAGGCGGCGGCGGCAGGCGGCGGCGTCGGCGCGCCCGACGCAGCGGCCCAGGCGGCCAATGAACAGAAGATTGCGGAGGAAGCGAAGAAGCTCTGAGGCCAAGTTCCTGCCGGAGACGCAGAAGCAGAAGGGCGCGAGCGAAGGCGAGGGCGGCGAGGGCTGCGCTTCCCAGGCCGACGGCGCGAGCTCTTGACTATCCGGAGCTGCGCCGATGGCGAGTGCGCCGCCCGGCGAGGCGGAGGGGGGGCAGCATGGCCGATGGTTCTATGCCAATGTCACTTATGTCACTTGCCTGGGGGAGATGTGTTGGAACTGGCGTATGTCTAAGTCGTCCGACGTCATCAGCATCGTTGGGTCGCACATCCACGATGAGAGGACTCTGTGTAAGTATGACGCCAAGGCTCGGGGAAAGGGCCTTCGCTCGCTCACCAATCCAGCGAGGCCGTCTTCGAAAGCGAGCGCTGCAGTCGGCACCAAGAGGGAGGTGTTGATGGAGTACTTGCAGTCACATCGCCCCCCAGCTGCCAGGCTAGCTGGGAGCAAGCTGTACGCGCCTGATCCTTCTAATTGTATCGGTGGCTTTCTTGCTACACTTGTACATTTCTCGGATTTCAACGCGGTAATGATCAGCTTCTGCGCGCGCAGTTGCACGGGGCTCACTGGAGCCAACGCCGGCAGGTTTCAGAGGCCAGCGGGGCCCCCGTGGTCTCTTCAACTCCCTTGGATAGTTGCGGGAGACTTCAACATGGAGCAGCGTCAGCTTGAGAAGTCAGGCGTCGCTCGCCGGTTGCAAGCCGTGGTGTTGCAGGCACAAGGGGGTGCCACATGAAATCATGGCTCGGGCACGGCCATTGATTATCTTCTGCGCAGCCAGTACGCAGTGCCACTTATCGCCGACATCCACCCCGTTATCTCGGTGCCCTGGAAGCCGCGCGCGGGACTCGAGATCATCATGCGTCGATCGGGGGAACAGCTCCTGACGAGATTCCTAGCGCCCCCAGGTCGGCTCCCACTGGGCCCACGACCATGCAAGGGCGCCACCGCGGGGTCTAAGTCTAGTCTCGCGAATGCTACGCGCAAGGTGCAGCGCCAGTTCGCTGCCGGGGAGCGAGCCACCAAGTGTTCTGCCTTGTTTGAGGATTGCTGTCAGTTTGAGCTATCTGATGCGAAACCCGAGGACGAGGAAGCCGGGGAAAAAGATCCTTCGGCCTCTGGGATAGGGAGAGCCTTTCAATTTTGATGGGTGGCCCGAGGATGGAGATTCGCGGGTTAAGGAGCTTTCGTTCTGCCCCGACGCCCCCCGCCTCCCCGCTCTTGCTGCGTCTGTGCAAGGCGCGTCGCAGCATGTCCCTCAGCCTTGGCCCCCTCACGGGTCCCATGAGGTCTCCAGGGGCGCGCCTGAAGTGGCCGAGCAGTCTGGGGCGGCGCCGCCGAGAGCTCCTGCCCCTGCTTTTGGCCATCCTCTGCCGCAGGCCCTTTGGGGCTTGGGCTGGAGGGGGGGGGCTCTGGAAGGGCCCGTCTTTCGCCTTTCCGTCCGATTTGCGGGCTAGGTGCAGACGCGATGTAAGGCTTGTCTCTTGAACGGACACTCTTCAGTCCGGTGCTCCTGCCTTGCGTCAATCCATAGAAGTTCGACTCAAGCCGGCTCAGCTTGAGACAATATCCGGCCTTTTACGCCACTTGGGTGTCAGCTGTCGAACCCACAAGCATGTCTCATCATGGGGTGGACTTGCCTCGCGGGCCGTCGCGAGCCGATGGGCCTGGGTTCACCGCCGCCACAGCGAAGATGCCACAGAAGGTTCGCGCGACGCCCCTTCGAGATCAGATCAGTGGATGGCGGGCCCAGCTCAACGCTCTACTCGGAGGTCTCGCGTTGCACAAGACGAAGGACAACGGCGCTTTCCATATCGAGCGCCACGTGACGGGGTGCGCGCGGCATCTTGCGGGTCGGCCAGGGCATGCGCAGCGCGTGCCTATCGAAGGTCGCGACCCCCCATGGTCGGAGGCGGGGGGAGTTCTGAGCGGCGCGGGCGGGGCGATCACACGAGCGCCGGCGAGCTCAGAGGCCAGCGCCAAGAGGATCGTGGGGGGGGGGGGGCGCAGCGCAGGGCAGCGCAGGATAGTATCAATGAGTTCAAAGATTTCACGGTTGAAGATGGGGCTTTTGGGACTCTACATAAGGCCTTTAACCAACAGAGCTTACCAAGTCCCGATGTGGACCAAGGAGATGTCGGTCTCTTTCGCCCACGTGATAGAATCGACCACAGAACGAGGACACGGCGCGACTTGTGGTCACCAGTTGCCTTGGACGACGACGAAATCTCTCCGGCCTTCGCCCAGATTCAAGCCGCTGCTGGTGGCGAGTCGCTGCCTGATATTCCAGTCGCAGAGATGCGGTCAGCCCTCCGCAAGATGGAGGGGCGAGCGGGCCTCGGAGTCGACATGCTCAGCCCGCTCGACTTCGGGCGCCCCCCCGACAAGGCGCTGGCCGAGTTGCCGATGCTGTTCCAGGCGCGCGAGCAACATCTCATGTGGCCAGGCCAAGCGCTGTTGATTATAGGACGCCCCCTACCAACAAATCGAATGGAGACCGAATTATCGGCCCGGCGTCAATGGCGGGGAGGTTGTGGAGCCTCATACGCGAACCTCATGTGCGGAGCTGGCCCTCGGCAGCCGAGGAGCACTGGAATGCTGCAGCGCGGGGGGGGGGGGGGGGGGGGGGGGGGCGCCCCCCCCGAGGCCTTCATCCGAGTGCTGCAGCAGGCGCCCCACCACCCAGGAGTCGCCACAGGGGAGGCCCTTGTCGACATCCAGTCGTTCTACGACTCCAGCGGGTGGCCGACGCTGGCCCCCTGCGCGCTGGCGCTGGAGCCCCCGCCGCAGATCTTGTGCCTTGAGCTGTTGCCATGCGCGGCGGCTCGGACGTTGGGCCAGCTTGGCGCCGCGACCAGGGCCTTTCAGCCCACGCGGAGCGTCGCCCAAGGCCTGCGGGCTGGAAAGCGCCGACCATCACGGTCGCCCACCCGCGACTCGGGCAGCGCAGCTGGATCGACGACCTGCCCCAGTCTGCCCGAGGCTCGCGAGCCGCTGTAAGGAAGAACTTGGCAGCGTGTGTGATTGACACGTGTGCAGAGTTGAGGGCCAATCAGTTACGAGTTGCACCGAAGCCCGTTATCGTGTGATCGTCGTTCCAGGATGCCAAATGGCGGGGCGCGTGAGGCTCGCTGGCTACTCTGTCTAGCCAGCCAAACAGGCCGCCTACCTCGGGGTTAACATGGGCGGCGGAGTGAGGATGTCTCGCGAGAACACTGCCAAGAGGGATGCGAAACATAAATCCATGAGTGGCAAAGTGCGGAGATACGCACTTGCGTTGAAGAAGTGCCGCGTCACGGGGGGGGTGGGGGGGGGGGGTGGGGGGGGGGGGGGGCGGGGCGGGCTCGGGGAGCAGGGGGGCCAGGCAGCGGGGGCGCGCGGGCGCCACGCCTGCGGAGCCGTGGGGTCCAGGAGTACCATGGCTCGCCGTCGCCTGGGCCAGGCGCTGGCTGCGCCCTCGCGCGGGCGCCGCCTGACCACGCTGCTGGCGCGGAGGGCGGGGGGCCTGGATCCCGCGACCAAGCTGCCAGCGGAGACGCTGGACATGTGGCTACGCACTTGGAGGGGGCAACCAGGGCTGCGACCAGGAGCGCGGGAAGCGCGGGGCAGAGTATACAAGCGCACGAAGGAGCTTCCCGCAGCGCAACGCGTGCGCCATGCGCGGGGGGTCCTCGCCGCCACCGCCCTCCAGTTGACGGGGGCAGGCTGGGGCCCGCAGCAAGCTACATCGCGGGACCTCCCCGACAGTCACCCTGCCGCTGGGGGCATGTGGAAGTTCGACGACGAGATGTACACTGGACTTGCACGTGCTGGGCACGCAACCGGGTTCCATGACGGATTTCAAGCAGGCACGCCCTGTGGCAGAGTGCCACTCAACATTTCTGTGGCACGGGTTTGGAGCAGGGCGCCGACTGCGCGTCGTACCAGATCTTGCTGCAGCAGCCGACGGCCGCCCCTGCCTGTCTATGGGCACAGGCTGGCAGAGGTCATGCTCGCTTGCGCGGGGGGTGGGGTGGGGTGGGGGGGGGTGGGGGGCGGGGGGGGGGGGGGGGGCGGGGGGGGGGGCTGGCGTCGGAAGGCACCAGAGTGTATGATGATGCACCGCATATGGTTATGTGACTGCAATGAAGGAAGTAGCGCGTACGGGGAGTCGAACGACCTGATCCCGCAGGCTATCGCTCAGGACGAGGCCGACCAGGGCTCCTGGCTCAGAGGCCTTATGCCAGCGCCCTAGACGGCGGTGCCAGCACCCTGCGAGGCCGACACCTGGACCGGCACGGAGGAGCTGGACGGGGAGCTGATCACCGAGGGCTGCGTCGCGGGCGGCTCGGAGCAGGGCCCTCTCTTCGCCTTTGGCGACGCGGGCGGGGGGCCTGACGCCAGCAGCCCGCTCTTCCGCCGCGTCGGCGTGGGAGTAGTTTTCATGCGAGCTCTCAGGCCTGAGCTGCAGCTTGCCTCGACTGTGCGCAGCCCTCATTCGGTGCCTAGACAGATTGTTGCTCGAGGCGAGCTGCGAACTTTGCTTTTAGCCGCGTGGATGACCACCGGATCCAGTGCGTCCATTTCAGATTGCGAACCAATCGTTCCAGGATGATATAGCCGCAAGTTCGAAGAGCCCACAGGTGAGGACGCTGAACTGTGGGCACGCATGGGGCTCTTGCTGAGGAAAAGGCCGCACGATGCCATTACTGTCCTCTTTGTGAATTCCCACCTGTCTGCCACCGACATCGTGGATGGGAGAGCTCCGCGGTGGATGGTGGCAAGCAATATGATTGTTGATGCGATTGCTGGGCAGGCGGCCAGCGAAGCTTGCCTCCCAGAGGCAGTCCGCCAGCAGGTTTGTTGCGCGAGAGAGCGGCCCGTCTTGTCAGGATGCGAATTCCTCGGGCCATTCTCGATTTCATGGCGGCTGAAGGTAAGGACAGGAGCGTCGCGGAGGAAAAAGGTCCTGCCATCCCTGCCCCTTCCCCCGCCTCCTGCTGCTGCCTCTCTCGCCCTTCTTGCTTCGTCTCATTCAGTGGACAGCACAGGGTGTAGATGCACCAGGTGCGGAGGTTCGGCGTCGAAGGCGACGAGGACAGCCTGGCTGAGGGCCCAGTGCTTCCATCCGGTTAATTATAAGGGTGCCATTTTTCGGAAGCCTGAAGGCGCTACGTTGCACATTGCAGGTGGGTATGTCCACCCCAGTCACAGAATGCAATGTCATGGTGATTTGAACTTGTGGTACTGCGTTAGTTGTGGTAGCTATGGTTCCCTGCAGCTCCTGGCTCTTGGGCGTGTGTGCGTGACGCCCCCCGCTCCCTGCAGGGCCGAGTAGTTACGGCTAATCTCCCAGGGCTCGTGGCCAAAGGTCTTGAGCAAAGCTGAAAGGGCCACCAGGAGTAATCGCAGGGTTTTAAGCTATGTGGTGGATTGATTGCCTTAGTCATATAGTCATGTTCATGTTCATGCTCCTCCTCCTCCTCCTCCTCCTCCTCCTCCTCCTTCTCCTCCTCCTCCTCCTCCTCCTCCTCCTCCTCCTCCTCCTCCTCCTCCTCTGGCGCCGCCGCCGCCGCCTCCGCCTCCGCCGCCTCCGCCGCCTCCGCCTCCTCCGCCTCCTCCTGCTCCTGCTCCTCCTCCTCCTCCTCCTCCTCTTCCTCATCCCCCTCCTCCTCCTCCTCCTCTCCTCCTCCTCCTCCTCGTCCTCCTCCTCCTCTCCTCCTCTTCCTGCTCCTCATGCTCCTTCTGCTCCTCCTGTTCCTCCTCCTCCTCCTCCTCCTCCGCCTCTTCCTCCTCCCCTCCTCCTCCTCCTCCTCCTCCTCCTCCTCCTCCTCCCCTCCTCCTCCTCCTCCTCCTCCTCCTCCTCCTCCTCCTCCTCTTCCTGCTCCTCATGCTCCTCTGCTCCTCCTGCTCCTCCTGCTCCCTCCTCCTCCTGCTCCTCCTCCCTCCTTCTCCTCCTCCTGCTCCTCCTGCTCCTCTCCCTCCTCCTCCTCCTCCTCCTCCTCCTCCTGCTCCTCTGCTCCTTCTGCTCCTCCTGCTCCTCCTCCCCTCCTCCTCTTCCTCCTCCTCCTGCTGCTCCTCCTCCTCCTCCTCCTGCTCCTCCTCCTCCTCCACCGCATCCTCTTCTCCTCCTCCTCCTCCTCCTCCTCTCCTCCTCCTGCTCCTCTCCCCCTCCTCCTCCTCCATGTCTCCTCCTCCTCCCGATCTTCGTCCTCCCCCTTCCCCTCCTCCTGCTCCTCCTGCTCCTGCTTCTCCTCCTCCTCCTCTTCCTCCTCCTGCTCCTGCTCCTCCTCCTCCTCCTCCAACTCCAACTCCACCACATCCTCTTCCTCCCCCCTCCCTCCTCCTCCTCCTCTCTCCTCCTCCTCCTCCTCCCTCCTCCTCCTTTTCCTCCTCTTCCTCCTCCTGTTCCCCCTCCTCCTCCTCCTCCTCCTCCTCCTCCTCCTCCTCCTCTTCCTCCTCCTCCTCCTCCTCCTCCTCTTCTTCTCTCTTCCCCTCTCCATTTCCTTGGCCCTTCACGCTCGCGTAGCGAAACAATCACGACGGAAGGTTGTTGGGCGCTTCTGGCCTCTAAAGGCCCTCGCCGGGCCCCGGGACCGTCAACAAAATGCTCGGGATGCAGAGCTGGACCTGGGGAAAGGGGCTGGGACTCCCGGGGGCCGCGTGCAGATAAAAGAACAGGAAAGCCATCGCTTTGGGGGCCCCTCTGGATAACAGAAGCACCATGACAAAGTCACGGGCATGATCTTCCAGAGGGTCGCGGGGACGTCATGGATCGGCGCTGGAGGCGCCGCCAGAGGGGACCAACGCCGAGAAATCCGCGCGGAGCGCCGCCAGCGTATGTTCAGGGCGCGCAGCCACGATCCCCCTCGGCAGGGGCTGGCGCCCTGCTGGCGGTGTGCCGGTGCCGATTATGCTCTCTCTCTCTCTCTCTTTCTCTCTCTCTCTCTGCTTCCATGCGGTTTACGGGAGGCTTCGCCTGGACAGACCTTCTCCACGTTCTCCAAGTAGGAACAGCCTATGTCCTGGTCTATACCGAGCTTGTCCCACCTGGGCGCGCCAGGAGCCCAAACCAAGTAGGGAGGCCCAGCACGATGCGAACGCGGCACCATGCCAACGCGGAACGACGAGAGCGCGGCACCATGCTGACGCGACACAACGCTAACGCGGCACCATGCTAACCAGACGCATCGCTGACGCAACGCCTCGCTAACAAGAGACACACTAACACGACCCGACGCTGACGCTGACGCGACACCATGCTGACGCGACACCTCGCTGACGCGACATCTCGCTGACGGGACACAACGATACACCATGCTAATGAGACCGGATGTCTACGAGACACGACGCCGACGCGACACGATATCCCCCTGACGCTTCTGGCGCTCATGGCACTCATGACGCTCTTGGCGCTCCTGACGCTCCACGCTCCTACTGACGCTCCTGATGCTCCCGACGCTCCCGACGCCCCCGGCGCCAACGCGACTCCATGCGACTCGACGCGTAGGTAATGCGGCACCGCGCAAACGACGCTCCCGACGCCCCCCGAGGCCCCCGACGCTCCCCAGGCCGCTGGCGCCCCTGACGCTCCCGACGCCCCTGACGCCCATGACGCTCCTGGCGCTCCGGGCGCTCCCGGCTCCACGGACTGCCCCAGAAGCTTCAGGAGCTCCAGGAGCTTCACGGCGGATGCTGAGGCGCTCCAGGCGCTTCAGACGCTCGGGATCTTCAGAAGCTTCGGAGGGTCCGAGGCGCAGAGTGCCCCATCTACTTTAACCCTTCTACCTCCTCCTACTCCCCCTGCTCCTCCTCCTCCTCCTCCTCCTGCTGCTCCTCCTCCTCCTCCTCCTCCTCCTCCTGCTCCTCCTCCTCTTCCTGCTGCTCCTCCTCCTCCTCCTCCACAATCCTCCTCCTCCTCCCCCTCCTCCTCCTCCTCCTCCTCCTCCTCCTCCTCCTCCTCCTCCTCCTCCTCCTCATCATCCTCATCCTCATCCTCATCCTCAGCATCAGCATCAGCATCATCATCTGCATCATCATCTGCATCCTCATCATCAGCATCCTCATCATCATCATCATCATCATCATCATCATCATCATCATCATCATCATCATCATCATCATCAGCATCAGCATCATCATCATCAGCATCATCATCAGCATCATCATCATCAGCAGCATCATCATCATCATAATCATCATAATCATCACCATCATCAGCATCATCATGATCATCATTATCATCATCAGCAGCATCATCACCATCATCATCATCATCGTCATCATCATCAGCATCATCACCATCACCATCATCATCATCATCAGCATCATCATCAGTATCCTCATCATCATCATCAGTATCCTCATCATCAGCAGTATCCTCATCATCATCAGTATCCTCATCATCATCATCATCATCATCATCATCATCATCATCATCATCATCATCATCATCATCATCATCATCATACTTATCATCAGCATCATCATCATAAACATCATCATCATCAGCATCATCATCAGCAGCAGCATCATCGTCATCATCCTGCTCCTGCTCCTCTTCATGCTGCTCCTCCTCCTCCTCCTCCTGCTCCTCCTCCTCCACCACGTCCTCGTCCTCATCCTGCTCCTCATCCTCCTCCTACCTCTTCCCACTTCCCTCCTCCTGCTCATCTTCCTCCTCCTCCTTCTCCACCTCCTGCTCCTCCCGCCTCCTCCTCATCCTCATCATCATCCTCATCCTCATCCTCATCCTCATCCTCATCCTCATCCTCATCCTCATCCTCATCATCATCATCATCATCATCATCATCATCATCATCATCATCATCATCGTCCCCGGTGCATGTTGGCTTAGGCGGCCTTCTCCTGAACTTTCCATGCTCGCTAGAGTTGGCAGACAGCGCTGAGAACTTTCGCATCCACCATTCAGTCAGTCGGGCGGCGCGCGGCGGCCGCCGCCATTCTTGCCACTCTCGTGCACAGCCTCGGCGCTGCCAACAAGCCATGGCTCCGTCAAAGCGCTACCGCCCATACGTATGCTGTTCGCGCCAGGGATGCAAGGGATGGTCCCTACCATGTGGACCGCACTACCAAGTTCTGCCCGCAGCGTGGGTCCATCTTCCAGAAGTCCAGCTCTCAGGGGCACTCTTCGTCCTACCCCAAGCCTCCCAAATTCGGCGGGAAGTCCCACGGAGACTCGGGCCATCGTCGTGGGAATCGCTGGGCCAGGTTCAAAGGAAATGGACAGGAGGAGAACACTCGCCAGATCCCCCCAGAGCCCGAGGATGTCGCAACTAACCCCATCTCTATGTATCAGGATTTGGTCGCATTTTGGAAGCTTCGTGAAGGCACGGGGGGAGAGAATTATGTCAAAACCGTGATTTCTCTCAAGCAGGCGAAGACAACAGCTCTCCAGGGGAAGCCCGTGGAACAACAATGCCAGTCTCTCCGCGATCAGATCTCCGACGCCCAACGTAAGATCCAGAAGTTCACCGAGCAGATCGACCACAACGTCGCCGAGATCAGCCGCCTTGCCGACCAGGTCCTCACCCTACAGTCCGACAAGGCCAGCGCCACCGCCGAGCTCAAGCAGTTGGAGTGCCAGCCCGCAGTAGCAGTCCGTGCCGTTGCAGCTCAGGCCGCCCCAATTGCATCAGGAGCAGGAGGATCAGAATTCTTCCCGCAGGTCTTGCGGTTCATGGGCGAGCTCATGCAAGGACCCGTTGAAGGGGCCCCTCTAAGATCCAGACGCAGATCAATGAGCTCGAGAGGCCAATCGCCGAGGCCTACAGGTAGCAGCAGGCCCTTGCCAGAGCAGCCCGGCGCAGATGATGCAGTTTCAGTTGAGGCAGAAGATATTCCCACATCTCCGCGGGGACCCGCCGACCCCCATCAGCCCCAGCCACGGCAGCCTCAGCAGCCCCCGCGGGAAGCAGCGAATCAGCCTCAGCAGCAGCATCAGAAGCCTGACACAGAAACGGAGATGGACCAATCCGAGAGCAGCAAGCGCGGTCAGACTGCAGGAGCAGCCCTGCAGAGGGCGGGCATATCATTGAGTCAGCAGGAGATCACAGGGGAGCAAACAGCAAAAAAACTTAAGCAAGCAGCGGCAGCGAGAGCCAAGGACGGGTCTCGACTATAACACCAGCCGCAGCAGCAAACATATCATCTTGAATGGCAGGTTTTTGGAAACGTCGTCATTATCTGAGAATGTCATTGCGAGATGCTGCCAAGAGACACGCACTGGGGGATCGCATCACAGATGCCAAACACAGTGCCACAAAAAGGGGGAGATGCAGTCATTCACCATGTTTGACCTGCGGAGCCAATCGACCAATAGCGGCAGCATTCATTCTAGTGCGCGCAGGTTTTGCTGTGGGCATTGGCCCAGCCACCCTCCCACCTTTGGCCCCTACCAGCAGGATCTCAGCAATTATCCTTGAGCTCCCAGGACACTACCCGGTCGCCCTCCCCCCTGTACCCCGAGGACTCAGCAGGCCTCAGTTAGCTCAATCTCGACTCGCTGGCAGCCATCGGGTGGATGCAGAACCACCGCAACATGCCAATCTTTGCAACCGCGGATTTTAACGCGCCGCCGTCAGCCGTCAAGAAAACCAGTCTCATGGAAATGGGGGGCAACCAAGTTATCAGCTCCTCAGGCCCCACCTACTTCACGAAGAAAAGAAGGTCAAATCTGGACTACTTCATCGCCAGCAGCGTTTTGGGAGACTCGGTCCACAGCGTCAAGGTTCTCACCAGCTACCCGCTCTCGCCGCATAGACCAGTCGCAGCCCACTTCGAGTTAGGATGCAACCAGATTCTTCCCAGGATCAGAAAGTCCCAGCAGCTCCCCACAAGGCGCCCAGTGGGCCCCTTACCAGGATCCCCTCGACTTGCAGCAGCAGCAGTGCAGCAGCTTCAGCAGATCATCCAGGACCCAGACTCTTTAGACCAGCAAAAGCTCGTAGCTCTGCACGCTACCCTCGACGTTGTCGTCCTCGAGTTCGAAGCCTCAGTTGCGCGGCAGATAGACACGCCTCTCAGATGTCGTGGCCAGCGTTGTCAGCCTCCGCGTATCATATGGGTGTCGGCAAAAGCTGAAGAGCTAAACCATCGAGCAAAATGGCAATCATACGCCACACCGTTGAGGTGGCTGAATAACCGTGGCATTGACGTGCAGAGAGCGTTGCATTTCGGTGTTACCAGCAGCCTGAGGGATGCACAGTCGGCCCCGCAGGACGCCCCGCAGGAGTTCCCAGCAGTTCAAGAGTTGCAGCCTCTCTCCAGTAAGTTCAGCCACTTCAGTGACGCCCTTCTCATTGGCATCCAGAGGGACGGGATGGAGGCGTCCAAGCAGCAAGCTCAGCACATTCTTGAAGAGCTGCAGGTGGATGTGACCAGCTTCCGCGACCAGGAGCGGTCTCGAGAAAGGCATCAAGCCACGGCCTCCCAGAAGCAGTGGGTCAAGGAGCAGATGACCTAAGGAGTTGGGCGGGCCCAGGATCCCAGGCAATCCAGAAGCGGCTGAGCTCCCGCCCATCGCGCCCCTCTCGCTCAGGAAAGCCATCTGGAATGTCAGCCACCAGACCTGCCAGGCGTGGGACGAAGTCCACCCCGAACATGTCGAGCTGCTTGCAGACGAGCAGCTCCAGATCTTCGCCGACCTTTTCACCTGCATCGAGCACGTTGGCACGATGCCTTCCCAGGTTCTGGCCAGCATCACCAACCTCATTCCCAAGCTGAAGGTCACTGGAGGGCCAGCCCGCCGCGGGATCAGGCCCCTCCCTGGGAATCATCGTGTCTGGACCTAACGTCGCCAGCAGGAAGCCCGACACTGGGAAAAGGACCACCGCTGTACTTTCCTGGCGCGCCAAGCAAGCAGGAGCATCCTAAAACTCGTATGCCAGCAGTCCCCTCCCGCAAAGCAAGGCTCTGGGCGACGACCCAGCTCACTCAGGTTCGGTTGTATGGGGCTTGCCCAACTACTACGAACACATCAACAGGTCAGCCCTACAGCAGAGAGCCAGCAGCAGCTGTTTCAACGGATAGATTTAGGTGTTATTCCCAACCTATACCAGGCGAGCAGGGTCGTGACCTACAACCACCTTATCCAGTAGTGTGTTTTCCCGTTCAGGGGTATCCCAGCAGGTAGTGGTGTTGCTGCATACTTGGTCCAGCAGGTTGTGGTGTTGCTGCATACTTGGTCCAGCAGATATATGGTAAGCAATCATTGCAGGCATGGGCCCAGGCCCACCCATGAGTGCAGCTCAGTAGTTTCATCGATGACATGTGAATGCAGATGTTCCACCAGTCCAAGAAACAGCTGGTCAAGCTATTGCACAACGCGTGCTTCCAGCTGCTCGCAGCCATCAAGCACGAATTGCAGTGCCAGAGTGCCGACAAGAAGTCGGTTGTCCTCGCCTCTCCCTGAGACATCCAGGTAGCCCTCGAGGCCGAATTAGGCAAGTACGCGGGCCCCCTCAAGCAGGCCTCGGTAGCGCCCAACCTGGGAGTCGACTTCAGATCAGGAAAGGCTCGCCGTCTTGGGATCAGCCAGTCCACCCTCAGAGCCAGAAACAGCAGACTCCAAGCCTGCACCCGCAGGCTTGCCAACCTCAAGAGAGCCCAAGGAGATACCCGCAAGATCTACAATACAGGTCTCAATCAGGCGCACTTCTACTGGTCGGAGGTCGTAGGCCTCGACAACGTCAAGCTTCGCAAGTCGCAGTCGCTCTGCCTCAAGATCGCGGGCCCAAGGACCTCCTCTCGATCCAGGAGTATCTCGCTCTGCATCCTAGGCGACCCCTGCTGGAGACCAGCCGTGGGTCCAGCGCTCCTGTGGAGCCAGCTGGCGTGGCGAGCAGCCACAGGCACGGCCACCCAGGGCTTCAGCCTCCCAAGTTTGCGCAGGATGGCGGAGGCTGTGCTGAAAGCCGCGCCCAGAACATGGAGCAGTTGAAAAGGCCCGCTAGGAGCAGCGTGTCTCAGCCTCCAGAGGATCCAGTGGGCATTCCCCCCGTTCGTGATCCAGGACAGCAAATAAAACCAGCACAGCCTTACCAGCACCTCGCCCAGCCTCCTGCAGAACATTCTCAAGAAGACCTGGGAAGGAAGAACTACTTAAGGAAACAGTCTCAAAAATGGGACTCGAAGGGGCCCAGCTCAACACGGACGTTGCTCAGAAACGCATTAGGTCGACTAATTCCACCAGCATCGAGAAGACCACCCTGGTCGCATACCTCTACCATGCTACATGGACGCGCAGTAAACTCAAGGCCGCAGGATACGCGGAGTCCTCGGGAGAGTGCACGTGTGGAGCGCCCTCTGATAACCTGCCCCATCGGCTTCTGGGATGCTCACTCACTGAGCCATACAGGGCCAACAGTTCCGCGCCAGATGAAATCGAGATTTAACCAGCCGGGACAACGCTCCCCTGGCCGCGGGCTGTCAAATAGAGCCTGATTTCGACATAAGAGCCCCGGAAGGGCTCGGCCTCTCTTCCGCGAAATTTGAGTCCGAGGATCCCGAGGCTACCCCTCAGACGGCCCTGGTGGGCAAAGCCAACGGCTCGGCCCTCAAGCATGGATGTTCTACGTGCGAAACCGCAGGCTGGGCCGTGGTTAAGACAAATGACGCTGGCGATGTCCTCGCAACTTTAACGGGCCAAATCGGCCGACTCCTCCCCCTGTCCTCTTCTGCTGCTGAGCACTGTGCCGTGCTTGCTGCTGCCACCTCCTCCTCCAGAATTACACAGATGTCAGTGGATGATCAAGGCACTCTAGATTTGTACGCCACAGGACTTTCTCGGCGAAACCGATACGCTGGGATAGGACTACTCGCCAGAGCTGTCATAGGCTGGCATCATAATCTCAGGCTGTCCAAGGTCAAAGCCCACCAAAGTCGCGACGCCCATCCCGTTGGGTCTCCAGAGGGGGCCGCGGCCATAGGCAACCATGGTCGGGGAGACGTAAGACCCGGGTACGGGGGACTCGGAAATCCCCGACGAGGTCGTCAAAAAAATGACGAGGCCGAGCCTGCATTTTGACGAGGCCTCCCGCTGCAGACATCCCACGAAACTCCTCCTCGTCAAAATCCGAGGCGCGGTCGTCAAAAAACGATGGCGAACCCGAGTCCTGGCAAACCCGGGTCTTACGCTCCCCCGACATGGAGCTGACCGGGTTGATGGTGTCGCCTCTCGCATTTTCAACCGACCTTCGGAAGCTGAAGTAGACAGTTTTTCAGACCTCAGAGTAACCTGCTCAGTAAGTTGTTACTCGACGTGACTCGTGCACTCCAGGAATGGCCCCCGATAGGACCCAGCACGTCCAAAGAAGGCTCTCGCCAAGCCCACCAAGTCACCAGTCAAAAGGGCGAGGAGGACAACGTCAAGAGGGCGGCCAACAACGACGAGACGAAAAGCAAAGGAGGCGAAACAAGGGCGCAGCATCACATCGAGGCAGCGGACTCCAAGACGCACGAGGCCGCGAGCCTGCAGCAGGAGCACG